TGCAGCAGACAATCTTATAGAGGAATCAATGGTGATGTGGCATCAGAAACTTGGCCACATGTCGGAACGAGGTCTAAAGATTCTTGCTGATCAACATCTTCTTCCGGGGCTAACAAAGGTATCATTACCCTTTTGTGAGCATTGTGTTACAAGTAAGCAGCATAGATTGAAGTTCGAGAGCTCTAAAGCAAGGAGCAAGGCTATCTTGGAGCTGATCCACTCCGATGTTTGGCAAGCACCAGTTATATCCCTGGGAGGTGCAAAATATTTTGTATCCTTCATCGACAACTACTCAAGGAGATGTTGGGTGTATCCAATCAAGCGGAAGGCGGATGTATTTGAAGTTTTCAAATTCTTCAAAGCGCGGGTGGAACTTGAATCCGAGAAACGGATCAAGTGTTTGAGGTCGGACAATGGAGGAGAATACACTAGTGATGAATTTGATAAATTTTGTTTGCAAGAAGGTATCAAACGACAGCTCACAGTGGCGTATACTCCACAACAAAATGGAGTGGCAGAGCGGATGAACAGAACCTTGTTGGAAAGAACAAGGGCAATGTTGAGGACTGCAAATTTTGCAAATTCATTTTGGGCTGAAGCAGTCAAGACCGCCTGTTATGTGATCAATCGGTCACTATCAACCGCAATTGATCTGAAAACGCCAATGGAAATGTGGACGGGTAAGCCATCTAGTTATTCTCACATACATACATTTGGGAGTCCGGCATATGTGATATACAACGCCCAAGAAACATCAAAACTTGATCCAAAATCAAGAAGATGTGTTTTCTTGGGGTATGCTGATGGAGTTAAGGGGTATCGCCCGTGGGATCCCACTGCCCACAAGGTTATCATCAGCAGGGATGTTCTATTTGTAGAAGACAGGGTACAAGAAAGGGAAAGCATTGGGAAGGAGAAACCAGTGACAATTACAGTACAAGTTGAGGGAAGGAAGGAAGAAGAAATTCCAGTTTACCCTGAGTGTGCTGTGTATGACTTGTATCTTGAGCAGTTGGATGTGAAAACTGCATCACTACATGGAGAACTTGAAGAAGAAATTTGTATGCTCCAACCGGGAGGTTTTGAAGAAAGAAAAGGGAACTTGGTTTGCAGGTTGACCAAATCTCTATACGGTCTCAAACAGGCGCCGAGATGTTGGTATAAGAGATTTGATTCATTCATTCTGAGCCTTGGATACAACAGGTTTAATTCCGATCCTTGCGCGTATTGCAAGAGATTTGATGATAATCAGTTTATCGTCTTGCTGTTGTATGTTGACGACATGTTGGTAGTAGGCCCCAACAATGATCGTATCACGGAGATGAAGGCTCAACTGGCTAGGGAATTTGAAATGAAGGACTTGGGACCAGCAAACAAGATTCTAGGGATGCAAATTCACCAAGACAGAAATAATAGGAAGATTTGGCTTTCTCAGAAGAATTATCTGAAGAAAATCTTGCGGCGCTTCAACATGCAAGATTGTAAGCCAATTTCTACCACTCTTTCTATTAATTTCAAGTTATCCTCAAGTATGAGTCCTAGCAACGAAGCAGAGAGGATGGAGATGTCTCGAGTACCGTATGCATCAGCAGTGGGGAGTTTAATGTTTGCTATGATCTGCACTAGACCAGACATTGCACAGGCAGTGGGAGCGGTCAGTCGATACATGGCGAATCCTGGTAGAGAGCATTGGAGTGCTGTGAAGAGGATCCTTAGATATATCAAGGGTACCTCAGATATTGCATTGTGTTATGGAGGATCAGACTTCGTCATTAAAGGCTATGTTGATTCAGATTATGCAGGTAATCTTGATTGTAGTAAATCCACCACGGGTTATGTGTTTACTCTTGCTGGCGGAGCAGTAAGCTATGTCTCGAAGTTGCAGTCGGTTGTGGCAACTTCAACGATGGAAGCAGAATATATTGCGGCTACTCAAGCTAGTAAAGAGGCAATATGGTTGCAAATGTTATTGGAGGAGCTCGGGCACAAATTAGAGAAAATGACTCTATTTTGTGACAGTCAGAGCGCTTTGTACCTGACAAAGAATCCAGCATTTCATTCCAAGACAAAACACATACGAGTTCAATATCACTTTGTTCGTGAGAAGGTGGTAGAGGGAAGTGTGGATATACAGAAAATCCATACTAAAGATAACCTAGCAGATATGTTAACAAAGCCTGTTACCAACGATAAATTCGTATGGTGTAGATCCTCAATTGGCCTAACAGGAATGCAAGCAGAAGGGAATTGGCAAAAAGGATGAAGACCCACATTATGAATTTAAGTGGGAGATTTGTAAATATTAAATTCATAATGTGGAATGGGCAGAAGTTTGCCTGGGATGATTTTGGGAGGAGATTTCCCAAAGGAATTGGGTGGAGGTTTGCCTAAGGGACTTGGGTGAAGATTTGCCTAAGGGACTTGGGTGGAGGTTTGCCTAAGGGACTTGGGTGGAGATTTGCCTAAGGGACTTGGGAGGAGGTTTCCTAAGGAGCTAGTTCTGAGCTTAAGTTTTGGAGAAAACTTGCAGGGAAAGAAATAGCATTATAGGCACATGGGTTCTAGCTTGGAAAATTCTAGACTCATGAATGGCTATAAATAAGGCAACATCCTTCATCAGATTATCCCATCCTTTCTCATCTCATTCGAAATATACAGAGAGTATAGCAAAAATTCTGTAGAGAAAAATAGAGAATTATATTTGTAATTCCTATTGTATTTATCCTTTTGCCAATACAGAAAAAATTCTTCTTCAATTTTCTTTGCTCTGTGTATGATTTATTTTAAATCTTACACTAGAATTTATTCTCAATATTTCCAGTTCAAGTTGCTATTGTAAATTTGGTGTTGTGAACCCGTTCCGATCCTAACACATTCATGTATTGATTAATCCTATCTACCATATTCAATGTTGGAGCCAAAATAACACTGTTCTTAAGATATGACAGATCACTTATACCGCGCTGAAACAAAGGGAATGTGCTATCAACAATTGCAACAATAGGATCATCGTCACACTTGAGCAATAAGTTTCTGTTTCACTATCAGTTGAATTACCAACTACTTCATCACCTATATTAGCTATCCATTTTGCAAACTCTTCAATCTCTTTAGCTTCGACCTCTGATTGTACGCCACTTAGGCATAGATTCTTAGTTAGCCTAAATACTTTACAGGATCTCCAAAGATATGAGGAATTTATGTTTGCCCCAACAATATCTTGACGTGTGCCCTTTAGAATTACTGGTAGAATTTGCATGAAATCGCTACAAAAAAATAGCTGTTTTACCACCAAAGGTCATATCATAACTATTCGGATTTCTGGAGCGTAACAAATCCCTCATTGTCAAGTCTAAAGCTTCATAGCAAAATTTGTGCATCATTGGACCTTCATCTCATATTATCAATTTGCTTTGCAAAAAATGGAATGTATCCCATAACCAAAACTCAATAAAAGGAATATTCTCAGTATATTTTTACATCAAATTATTTCCATCTCCAACCCATTACACCAATGTTATTTTATAATATTTAATAAACAAATATACTAAATATAATAAATTCTTGGGTCAAACTTTATTTCTTTCATTTTTTTCTTCTAAATAATCTGACTCAAAACTAACCCAATAATGTAGCCCATAACCCAAACCCAATAAAACAATTAATAAAATGTTTTCTCGTAACCCTAAGACTATCTTTAGGTAAATTATTGTGTGAACCATGGTCCACATAGTGTTGTATGGACCATAAAAGAAAGTACATTTTTAATATATTAAAACGTACATTATTTTTGTACCGAATGTACATTATAAAAATAATATAACTGTAGTATTCAAATAATGTAATTTCTCTGAATACAAAGTACATTTTTAATATTCTAAAAGTACATTATTTTTGTAGTAAATGTACATTATTTTATAACATACAAAATATGATCCACATAGCTTGTGTGGACTAGTCCACACAATAACGATTGCCATCTCTAAGCCTATGCACCAAATTTTACACCATAGAAAATATTCCTTGTATATTCTTATATCATTTTTTTTCTATCTCCAACCCATTACACCAAATTCTACACCAAATTTTATTTCTTTACTAAAACAATTTATTTTTTCATAAATTAAGACTTTGTATTATAACCTTTAATATTTTAATATAAAATATGATTATAATGTAAATATTATTTTACTCCACAACAATAAATCATAGAACATCCATTAAACCATGCATGATTATTACATCTTCATTATTGTTAATCTATTAAGTTTAATTTAACAAACTGTCAAAAGTTATTCTTAAAACCAAGAGTTATTTCGGCTAAGCCTCCTCAGATAGTGTGAATAGCATTTAATACGATCGTAATTGTCCTATGGCTCTAAACGGCAGCGTTTTATTTGGGCGGAAAATTGATTTGCAAGAAGTTGTTGCTTTATTATAGAGCTAGTAGTTATACACGTGCGATGCACGGCTATATATATATAATGTATATAAAATATACAGTATGATATAATAAAATGGAAAATATTAGTTTGTAAACGTAATAAATTTGAAATGATAAACTTTATAATTTTATTAAACATTGTTGAATTTTGAAGATTAATGCTTAATTATAGCATTCTATCCATAAAATGCACCGCATAAAACTTATTTATTGCCAAATCATGTGATAAAAACGATTGATTAAGCATTAATCCTCAAAATTCATTGCAAATTAATCCTCAAAATTATACATTAATTTTATAATATTAAAAACATTAATTATAGTTTGAATAAACTATATAATATTAACTGAAATGTATAAATTATGAATAATGCATGTTAATCTTCTAATATAATAAAGTAGAGCCAAAAATTCCCGCTAAAAACACTGGAATACCAACAGTCTCACCAAACCCTTGTGATTAACATTAAGTGGAGAATACCGACAGTCTCACCAATTAATTGCCTGTTCAATTTCCAATAAATATTAATAACAAACAATTATTGCTATATGTATATACACAATCAAAAAATGCACTATAAATAGTTTACTGATAAGGAGATGAAGGCACATATTGAGATGGGAAAGGTATACACTTGCAAACGTCATGGTACTTGATGATGAGGAAATTTGGTTCCTTACTAATAGGGCTGCTGTGTTCTTGGAGATGGGAATGGTATACACCTCTATTTGTAATTTTTGGTGTTTATAAAATGAATTTGTGTTGATTATTTATCTCAAATATGTGTTGATTCTTTATCTGAGGTCCTATTCATTTTGAAACAAAGCAAAGGTAGATCCAGGTAATATCCATGGCCTTCAATTATTTTTAGGGGGAGGTGGTTGCTGACTTCCAATTCCATCCCCATGATTAAAAAAAAAAAAAGTATGCATAAAGCAGGCACCAAATCTGTAATTCTCATAATCTGCATGTCCATCCAAAACTGCAAAACCCAAAACCCACCCATTAATGAAAAGTGTAACAAAGTAGAAACTAAAATATTTGAAAAAAAAATTGAATATTATATGATCTAAAATGTAAAATTAAATATACAGTGACAACGATGATATATACCTGAAAATAGATGCAACTATTTTTTTCTGCTCATTTCATATTTATATTTTTAAAATAGATGCATTAGATAATTGAAGGTCATTGCAGGTCAGGAAGAAGCTAAATAGACTAGCAGTATTTACTGTTAAAACTATTAGAGGGAAATGAATTATTCTTTGACGGATCTGAGAGATTAACATGCCAATAAAAAATATGGAATATTTGTATACATTGTAAATAAATGCATATAAACGGAATAAGTTAAAACAAATTCAGAAAAAAAATCGAATTTACCCATGTGCTTGGATCTGATTAAAAATGGAATAATAGTGTGCATTACTATCATAGGCTGCATATTACAAAAAAAAAGGAAATAACTCATTTTATTTAAAACAGGATGAAATCATACGCAGGTTACTATTAATTTAAACAAATTAAATTTATAATAGATTGTAAAATATGTGTCAAAATTTCCAAGGATCTGTATACTCAAAGCGGGTAACACATAAACAAGAAAAAAAACTTATCTTTTAGTATAGCCCTTCGTTTTTGCAGGTCATTTTGTTCTAACCTAAGACTGGAGACAACACATATGTTAATAACATAAGGCAGATCCCGTAAAAGTAGTTCGCTGCTTGGCGAACGGAGTTGCTTTCCGCTGTGAAGAAATCACCAATCACCGTCGACGATTGCAAAATAACGGATAACCGACAAAATGGCCATGCAGCGAAATGAGTTCTCAGACTTCGCTAGAGAGAAGACGGAGAATATCGGAAGGTGAAGAGTTAAATTTCTGCCGATTAGGGTTTGATGGGGGGTTATTTATATGCGTTTTAATGTGCTTATAGTATATGGGCTGGCCCATCTGCACATTTTAAGCAATAAATAACAGGCTGGCCCACTTATATATATATATATATATATATATATATATATATATATATATATATATATATATATATAATATTAAACTTTGTATTAAACTTATAATATATTTTATTATTTTTTGTAATTATCGACCTTAAATATTAATTTTTATTGTAATTACAAATAATTATGTTCATAACTTCATCATACCAAATCAACATAATTATTAAATAATAATGCTTTATAAATGAATAAACCTTATATTTGCTTTTTATGATTAATGTTTGATTTTTATCCTTTTTTTAAAAAAATATTATCAATAATAAAGTTATTTAATTTTATACCGTGCATTGCACGGGACAATTACTAGTACTAATAATAATAAAACTAAAAATAATACAATAGTAACCTCACTAATAATAATAATAAAGTTTTTCAGCTAATTTACATTTTATACTATGATCTAATCCACATAACATAAGTAATTATCCTATTATTAGACAACCTAAATTTGTAAGTTAAAAAAATCAGTCCAATCCACATAACATAACTAATTATTCTAGGCTTATATATATTCATCCCTACAGCCCAAATTAGAAGAACAGATTCAAGCCTATAACCGAGATGATGCTGCCTGATCCAAATGCACAGATGCGACCCGACCCAACAGACTGGAGTATAAAAGTCATATGTTGTCATCACTTGCAGCCCTCCCCTCTCACTCGCTCTCTACTCCAGTATTCCAGCTCTCTATCCGAATCTGAGAAATCGAAGCAATAATCCATAGTTTTCGACCAATTTTTGGTTGTAAAATGATTCTAAAATCCGTCTATTCAACCATTATCCTTCTTCTACTCTTTGTTAAACCCTATAATCCCGTTATCGCGAACATTTGTTCGAAGCCTCTAATCCGTTGATCCAACCTCTAATCTCAGATTATTTATCCATTTTTTTTACAGAAGGCTCTAAAACTGGGTTGTCATCTGCGATTCTTCGTCTACGTGATTTCGCGATGTTGGTTAAAAACCCCAGCTCAAGAAATCCCTAACAGATGAGTTCATTAGCTATATTTTTTTTGTCCATTTTCGGTTTTTTTTTTTTTTTTTTTTTTTTTTTTTTTTTTTTTTTTTGTTGTCATGTCATTGTGTTATTTTGTGATGTATGTTAGTTTAACTTATCTGTTTTGGAAATGAATTATACATTTGTAGCAGAATGCATTTGGGCAGTTTAATATACACTTATCTGTATGTTACCTACATTCTGTAGTTCATGGATCTATGTTACCCTAATAATGTGCTATATAGACTTTAACAACTGCTAAGTTGTTTTTACCTAAGTTTTTGCCTAACTGACAATTGGTTGAGGAATTTGATGTGCAGTCCAAAAAAAAAATGAAGCTTTATTTATTTATGTATCTGCTAATGTGTCAAAGTCAATGTGACTTATTTTTCAAAAATGAGACTGGAAATGTTTGTAAAGTCAGTATATTTTTTTAAAAAAGACTTTTTTTAAAGATATTTTTTCAAAAATAAAGGATTGAGTGACATGGCAATTAATTAATCTTACTCTTTGAAATTGCCTTACCAATTTGGTGATTTATGTATGAAAAAACTATAAGTGTAATGCAAAGTTTTTTTTTTTTTAAATAATGTTTTTTTATTTGAATAATCAAAGTTAAGTGTTTGGTTTTATGCTTATAGTGTTTCTGACAATTGGTTTTGTTAATTTTTTTCATGATTCTTCTTAGTGTTATTTTTTTGAGTTATTGAGTTCAACTATTTTTTTTTTTTAATGTTTTATTGAATAAGTATAATGCATAATGTGTTATTTACATGCAAATTCATATGAATTTGGCAAATATAAATAATGTCTATAGTCTATTTTCACATAAATAAATCAATACAAAGTATACATGTAAATAAGGGTACTAATACACCATAATTTTGGCCTATTTCTTGACTCCATTCTTCAACCAATGCTTGAAAATGTCTGTTTTCAATCCATTCCAACTGCTGGTGGCTGTCATTTCAGTGATGAATGTTGAGCCACAGACCATTGAGCTAATCATCCTGAAAGCCATGTTAAACACAAAAAAAAAAAAAAAAGAAGCATTTAGTCTACAATAATAGCAAGACAATTATAATAGGATAACAATTAAGTAAAAAATTTGGATATTACAATTCTTGTAGGATTTTAAATTTGGGATTTAAACATACTAAGTAATAAGCATTAGTGTCATAAAATGAGAAATTATTTTAAATTAAAAATTATTAAAGACCTCTTTGTAAACTACATTAGTGGTTGAATTATCACTATTGCCTAACTCATTACAGATCAAAATCTTGAGACCTTTAGGATTGCTCACTTTAGATGTGGCTACATATAACTGGCCGTATACAAAAACTGGTTGAGTAGCAATCCAACATGGGATAACGTTTGTCCCTGATTTTTATTTATAGTAATTGCATATGAAAACATTAATGGGAATTGACAATCTTGGATTTGATGGTGTCGTAGCCATTCGAGAAACTAACGCCCTAGTAATTTTACCAAAATCTATTTGGCTTGATTATAGTGGCAAATTATTGTGTGGATCATGGTCCACACAATGTTACGTGGACCATAACAAAAAGTACATTTTTAATATATTAAATGTACATTATTTTTATACTGAATGTACATTATACAATATAATGTACACTCAGGACAAAAATAATGTACATCCTCTGAATATAATGTACATTATTTTTGTACTGAATGTATATTATTTTTGTACTAAATATACATTATTTAACAATAGACAAAATATGGTCCACACAACTTGTATGGACCATGGTCCACACAATAATGATTGGATTATAGTTAGGATATATATACACATAACTAATAGGCAACCCAATTGTTTAAAAAATAAAAAATAAGCAGCCCAATTTTATATTCAAATAGAATGAAATCCACAAATATATAAGCCCAAACCAAAACGCAAGCCCACAAACAAAACACCTAAAAACCTAAGGGTCCGTTTACTAACAGAAAACTGTTCTCTGTTTTCGTTTTCTAATTTTTCAGTTTTCATTCTCTGTTTTCTGTTTAGAAAACTTGTTTACTAACATAAAACTGTTCTCTGTTTTCTGTTTTCTAATTTTTTAGTTTTCACCTAAACTTTAGTTTAGATAATATTAATATTTTTGAGCTAATATTTAAGTTTTTTATTTTTGGATATATTCATTTGAATGACATGTATATGAATATATAACTTTTACTTTGAATTCTAATATATGTGAGATTTCAATATCCGATATCTAGACCGAACTTGTATTATGATGTAACATAATTAAAAATATTCGAACTAATAATCTATTGAGTTCAATCAAAATCTAAAACATTATATAGAGTTTAATTCTTAATTTTGATAATGTAAATAATGTCTAACTTTAAAGTGTAAGCAAATAAATTATGTTTAAATAAGTAAAGTAAGTAGAAAAGACAGAAGATAGTGACAAGTAAAATAAGCTGATAATGAATGTAATCATAGTAATGTGGTTATAGTGACATATAACTAAATAGATCATAGATGATTCTGTTTTCTATTTTGAAAACAGTTTTTAATTGTGTTTCAGTTTTCCAGAAATTTCCAGAAATTATTTTCAGTTTTGAAAATGAAAACTGTGTTAGTAAACATGTTTTCTGTTTTCTATTTTCCAGTTCTCGGAAATTTCCAGTTAGTAAACGGCCCCTAAACTGGTCAGACATTCTTGCAGCTAAGCTCAAATCTCGCTGTGTCGTTTCTCTCTATAATCTCTCTATCTTTCTGGAAACTTCACCAAACATCGATTACAGATCTCCTTCAATCATTATCATTCTACCTAAATCTCGTTTTCGCCATTCCCATGTCTAACCATTAACTCCGTGATTTCTATCTATACTCTATCAAACGTTTCTAGAAAGTTCACCACACATATATTTCCGGTCTCGAGTAACCCTTTCTCCTTCGGTCTTAATCTGGTTTTCTCGCGATTCCGTTCTTTAACCTTTAACCGATCAGTCATGGCCTTCAAAGTAATCGGTTCACATATGCAGCAACTATCCAAACAGGAACCACAACTTTTGAACACTGTGATCCGGGAGCTGGTGGTGGGGCTGTGGGAGATGTACAGCGCGTTAGCGAGATCTTCGGGATTAAATCCGGGTACCGCGGGTTCTACTCCTTCGAACCGCTCCAAGGTAAAGATCTTAAATTAGGTCGTTGATTGTACACAAATTTATTTTTTGAATTTAAAAAAATTATAGACATGCTGTAATTTCCATTTCTAAAAATTCTGATTATATGAACAGACACGGAGATCCGAAGGATTATTTTTCTTCAAATCTATGTTCAGTCCAATTTTGTAGTTAATATGTCCCTTTCTTATATCAGTTTCTTATATGCATGTATATTTTTTTGAGAAAAAAAAAATGAATGTAAATTATACTGTATACATTCAGCCTGTGACATCTTGAGTGTCAACCTACAGAATATGTAAGATTAGATGTGACTTGTCAGTGTGTGAAGATTTTAGATTTTCAGTGAATCCATTTTTTCTTAAAATGATGTGTTATGACTATCTTGAGTGTCAACCTACAGAATATGTAAGCTTTTAGATTTCCAGTAAGTTCAATTTTTCTTAATTACCTAAAAAATTACAATCTAAGAATTAAAGTACAGAATATGATATGTCTATTATTATTTGTATACAGATGTGCACAAAAAAATGACAATAATGGTGCCTGGTGGAATTACACTATCTGTGTAGACTCACAAAAAAGGAGACAAATGGAGCATATTTGAAGCAAATATGGCACAAAAATGTAAAGGTAATCAGAGAATAAGCATTAGTGTTTCTGCATTCTGTAGTTCACGGATCTATGTT